ACATAGATCCGTCAAGGATAGAAAGATAATATGGAAAACAATTGTTTGTTCCCAATGGTTACAAAGAGAGTGGTTGACAATATAGTATGAAAAGATTGTCCTTACGCCACCCTAGAGGGTAGAGATCACATAACACTTTTTGTACCTTTTATGCACCATCACACGTTAACCATTTTGAACTTCTTCTGATCTTCAGAGGCTTCAAAAAATTTGAATGTTTGAAGCTTGTTATAGAAGAATCACCCTTAAGTCTTAGAACCTAAGTCTTGGAGTCTTCAGAACTTGTTCCAACATAACCTTATCTTTAGAGTCTTCAGCACTTGGTCGTAAGAACTCGTTTTTCTTCAGATCATCAGAACTTGTTCAGCATAACCTCATATTCATAATCTTTAGAACTTGGAACACATAGAAGCAAAGATTTAGAAGGCCTCCAAAGTTTAACCATAAAGTCACGATCAAAATCTCTTGTACTAACATTCCTAAGAATCGTTGTATAAGACAAATTCCAGAATCTTGACTTCAACTGTAACACGTAACCAAATATTTTCTTCTAGTAGTGTTTATGTTTAGAACTTGATGACGTCACACGCCTTAACATCAAAGTTAGAACATTACAACAGCATCTACACACTTAAACGAAACCATTAGAGTATACAATTGTTAATTATGATACCATGTAAAGTTATCATCTAAATCTTAAGGACAAATGTTGAAACACTTCTTATTCTTATAGGAATTTCTTTGTACACCCTTACACCTTCTTAGCCACCTCTGGCGAAATTCCATTTTTACCTCCAGAATTTGGAGATGTATATTCGAACGCACCACATTTCATTTTTCTGGGGTGATTTCGGAGATGTATTTCCGGAGTTACGTAATATCATTTTTTTGGGTGAATTCGGGTATGTATTTCCGAAGATACCTAATGAACAATTTCGGAAGTACATTTCCGAAATAAACACTGACTAATATGCAAAACAGAAACATTAAAACATTGACATTGAAACATAGAAAAAACAAAACATAAACCTTGAAACATAGATATAACATAGATGCCGAAATATTGATATTACATAGATATTACATAAACATTAACATAAACAATAACATAAATTAAATATTGAAAGTCGAAATTACATAGATATTGAAGAATAAATTTAACATTATATATTTTTATAAACGAGTAACTGAGGACGTCACAATATTTTGATAATATCTTCAGCGGATCTCTGAATTTTTGCATCAAATTCAATCGGATCCTTAGTAGAGTAATGACGAAAAGTACTCCACATAACCTGTAAATCATCATTCGTCTTCAGCTCAAACTTGGTGAACTTGACCTTTCCATCAGTGTCAAGTGACGGTGAGCGATACTCAACCTTGACTACTATCTGATTTTATGGATATTGCAAGAGAGAGTTGAGTATGGTAATGAGCTCGACGAGAGGCGTATCCTCGCAGAACCTAAATTGAAGTGGTGACATCACAACTTTGATTATCGATATTTCTGGAATAATTTCCTTCTCCTCCGGCTTAAGTCGACCTACAATTGGATGACCTTGTAGCTTGGTGTCCAACGCATGATTATGTTTACTGGAAATGACAAAAAATTGCCACGTATCATCCACCCTACATGATCCGCGTAATTTGAACGGACACTCGCATTTTCTTGATCCAATGTCATCTTATTTTAGATTCCGAACTTTTAGAACATATTTTCCACTTCTCTCGAATCTCATGGTTACAAATGTTTGTCTTCTACTAATGCCAATATCGGACCTTCCAATCACAACACCAAAATCGATTTTGCTAGCTTTCATTTGAACACAATCAAGCAAATATTGCCGTGTATTGAAAACTTGATCATTTACAAATTAGTGTCAAACATCTATATCGACAACAATCGATTTAACGTCTTTCTTCACCTCGTCCACCCCTAAAAGATGTACAAAGAAATTTCCTTCAATAAAGTCAATATCGTTAATAACCAGCCCAATCATAAATGTAGCCGAACTCCATTATTTCCTAGACAACATCCACAATTAGAATAAAAATTACTTTATATATTAATCTAACTACTTATACATTTCAATTTTTTAAAACTATTTATGAATTTTTTTCTAGTTATTTATGATTTGATTCTATGACCAAAATATACTCTCTCCACATTTTTTACATGGATAACGCTACATTGAAAATTATTCGTATTCCTATAAATATATTCTCCTCCACCCTCTCTCTCTTTCTAAAGACACGCAGACCAACAGACAAGTACACAACTACTATTACAGATTTAGGATTTAGAAAATATCAATTCCGACACCGTCTTGTTACGTGTTTTCCGATTTCAATTTGCAAAGGGATTGAAGCCTTGGGGTCCAGGTTAGCTATACTACTTTCTGTTATTTTTATTTCTCAATGTTTTAACAGTACTATGTATTATATTTTATATGAATACGTACCAATTTTTATGCAACCTTTTTTTGTGAATCTCACTTACTCTGTTGGGTTTCCTGTGCCTGTTTTCAATCTGTCTCACATTACTGCGTTCATTCTTTCTTTGTTTTTCTGTATAAAAAACATATATATATATATATATATATATATATATATATATATATATATATATATATATATATATATATATATATATATATATATAAAGAAAATCTCTTTAATAATGCAAAATTTCATCTGTGACTAAAATGTGCTCTAAAAATACAAAGATTTTTTATTTTATAATATGAAAAATGTAACGTTGACTTTGGTCAATAAGCACTTGTGACAATTCTAACATATTTTTTTCAACTGAACAGTAAAATCTGGTGGCTATGTTAGATTTGATTTTAGGTTAAACATGCATAGGCTACTTTTCAAATTTTGGAAAAAAAATTTGTTCAAAAAGTTGCAAATCTTGAAAATTGGACAAAGGATACATAGATCCGCATTTCTAGTCATTAATTTAGATTTTAAATTATTACCATAATTATCTATTTTTAGAAGGAAGACAATTTTATTCTAATTATCCCTGATTAGTGTTAATTATATTTAATAGCAATAACTAATCAACATTAATAATATGCATGCATTAAGCAAATAACGGAGCCATTTTTTTTTGGAAGGAGCTTCTCACCGTACACTATTGGTAAGAACTAGGAAAACACCAGCCACGGATTTTTCTCTCATTAAATCAATCTATTTAATTAACCTGGCCCAATAGAATTATTTTTATTTATAGGAATTTTTTATTCTATAGATATATAAAATAGAAATTTGAAATTAAATTAGCAAAAAGACCAATAAATGTGAAGAAGAGTATGAAAATCCAAAAATAAAGAGCTGTAAATGGGGAAAGAAAAGGGTGATAGGGGAGGCATGTTTTGGATGGTTCGATCCATGCTAAAATGGTGATAATGATGTATAAATTATAATACTACATGATCCATGTCATGACTTATATTAATATTATTTTTAATTCTACATAATTTTTATGTCTCAAAGAAGCATATCAGCTCATTTAAAATTGCCTTGTAAAAAAGTGAGAGAGTAAACCATAAATTAAAAACGGGTCGGGTCCGTTGTTTTGTAACCTTAGGGTTACCATGTTCCATTGGAAAGATTTATTTTTCTTTTACATGAACGTGGTCACGTGAGTTTCTCTTTATGTGAGGTTATTAGTAACAAAATGAACGCAAAAGGAGAGTTAAATTAAAAGGAAGTTTCTTTTTTATGTAAAGCCTATATAAAAAAGTGATAATATAGATAGGCTTTGGAGAGAGTAAAAAGGATAGAGAAATGGTTGGTGACATTAGAAGAAGCAATTAGTTAGATAAAAAAGAAAAGGCCAACTAAGTCTAGACTAGTCTATAGTAGTAAGTAGAGTAGCATGAATGGTAATAAACATTAAGACAGAAACACGAAACCCAAGGAATTAAGTGCAATGCAGTGTGGTGGTAGTAGTAATGTTTTGCTGTAATAAGTAGACCTATTATGGTTCCATCTCAACACCTATTACTATTAGACCCTTTCTTCTTTCGTCTCATCGCTTTCTCTTTCATTACTCTTTTTTCTTCCACACCCATCCCACCAATTACTCCTCTCTCTCTCTTACTCTCTTATTTTCATTTGTATTTATTAACAACGCACGTTATTAATTAATTAATGCGTCTTAATAATCAAGCTGAGAAGAATCATTCAACAAATAATTATTTTAATTCGCGCCACGGTGATTGTGATTAAATTAATTAATGACACTGAAATTCTCATTTTGGTTATTGTTGTTGTTGTTTGGTGTGACAGATAGCGATAGGTGAGTGAGGATTACAAGAAGAAGAAAAGAACCATGGTGGTTGTTTTTACAGAGACAGAGTAGTTGTAGTAGTAGTCGTAGTAGTAGCTGGTTCTTGTTTCTCGGGTCGCGCCGTTCGTGTTTGTCGCTCGTGCGTGAGTCTGTGTTTTTCTTTTCCTTCTTTACGAGTTTCAATCCCGAAACCCTCAAATCTCGAGGCTGTTTTTTGTTCACATAACAAGAGACAACTGTTTTTCGTCTTCCGCCATTTTCTCTCGTGTTTTGAACCAGGCTACTGCCACCTATATCTCTCCTTTTCTTCTTTGCTTTGGTTCACTGCACTTGAGGTTTGTTCAAGTCCTTATTAACTGGAGGGTCGGTGTTCTATTCAACTTGCTTCACATTCACTACACTGGTACACTTTTGTTTTTCTCATTCTTTGTTTACTTTGGTTCTTCTTTTTTATTTATTTATTTATGTTATCGAGGTTTAGGGATTAGTTTTTAATATTAATATTTTTTTAATTTAAGTATTGGGATCATTTGTTGTTTTCTGAGGTTGTTTCTTAGTTCCTCGTACTTGGTCACTGCTTGTGATTTTCAAGGGTTTGATTGATATTTAAGGTTGTTGTAGAGGAAGTGAATTTGTGAGGAAAGGGAGAAAGGTTTCTATTTTCATGTGGGACTTTTTTGTGTGAGGATTATTACAAGATATGCTGATCTCTGATGAAGGAGATAATGATGTGTTCTTTGATTCATTGGATTGTTTCTCACCTTCTCAAGAATCATTTACTTTTGGGTATGAGTTTTGGCTTAATGAGCCTATTAGTGTGAAGGAAAGAAAGCAAAATTTTCTACAAGAGATGGGTTTTGTTGATGATTCTTCTGAAAACAAAATTGTGCACTGCGACGAGAGGATAATGGATTGCGGGGAAGCTGTATCGGATGATTGGGTTTTGTCTTCAACGGACGAGGCCACTTCTGAGGAACATGTCTTGTTTGAGTCTAGAGATGATGATGATGATCATGACGATGAAAAAACAGATGCAAGTTTACAAGGAGAGGAATTACAAGAGCCAAGACATAGAGAAGCTGAGACTGCAGAGGAATTTGGTAAAAAGAAAAAGAAAAACTGGTGGAAGCAATTTGTTAGCACTGGGAAACTAGCTAGAGGGATAGTTAGGTCGAAATTTGTCAAGGCGAGTACGGATGAAACGTGTCGAATCAATGTGAGGCGTAATAAGAAAAGCTGGAATGAGTTTAGTGCTGTGTATGGTGGACAAAAGATTAGAGCACACAAAGGTCTAATTTGGACTATGAAGTTTAGTCCAAGGGGCCAGTATCTAGCAACTGGAGGCGAAGATGGGGTTGTTCGTATATGGCTTGTTTCATCGCTGAATGCTTCTAGTATTTGTTATGCTAAAGAAGCTAGTGCTGTTAGCAAACTGAAACATGGCGTGCCTTTTTCTTCGAAGAAATGTTGTCAATCACCCCTTGTTCTTCCTAGTAAGATTCTCAAAATTGAGGAATCCCCGCTTCTAGAACTATATGGTCATTCAAGTGATGTGATGGATTTGGCGTGGTCTGATTCAGATGTGAGTTTAACTTGCTATAAGTTCTATTTGTTGTTATTGCTATTGCTACTTCTATAAAATGTAATCTGAAATAATTTATCTGTTGCAGATGCTCCTTTCCTCGTCTATGGATAAAACTGTTCGCATGTGGAAAATTGGTTATAATCAATGTTTAAAAGTTTTCCATCACAGAGATTATGGTAAGTATTAAGTCTTCAATTGTTTTGACCATTGTTTCCTTATTAATGTATTCACATCATATGCTTGATTTGGTTCGTTTTCACAATTGGTTGTGATGCAAGTATTAGCACGTTTTATCCCAATCGCATTATCATAATTGTGTCTCTATTTTAATTGAAAACAGTGACATGCATTCAATTCAACCCGGTTGATGAAAACTACTTCATCAGTGGCTCCATAGATGGTAAAGTCCGAATATGGGGAATACATGAAGAGCGTGTTGTTGACTGGTCTGACACGCGAGATGTCATAAGTGCTATAAGTTATCAGCCAGATGGGAAGGTATGTTAATGAATGAATACTCGACTTTCCAGAATCGTGTCTTTTTAGTTTGTTGCTTTTCTGGTAACTTAACTCAGCAAGATTTTGAACTTATTGCTTTTTAATTATGCAGGGGTTTGTAGTTGGTTCCCTTTGTGGTATTTGCCACTTTTATGTAGCTTCAGGTATGTATTTATGCAATAATCATTTCTGTAGTCATTAATACAATGCAAGAAGATAATTGACTTGAATTAAAAGTGATTACTGATTTGGATTTTATGGTTTTAGGTAAACAATTCGTGCATAAGGCGAAGGTTCGTGTCAATGAAAAGAAGAAGAGATCATCTGGCAACAAGATTACTGGCATTCAGGTTTTATTCGTGAAACTTGCACTGCCAAAGTGTTATGCCTATTTATTTTACTTAATTAACCTTGGAACACCCAAATTTGTTGCAGTTTTTCCATAAAAACCATCGGAGAGTTATGATCACATCACGTGATTCCAAAGTTAGAATATTTGAAGATGCTGAACTTGTTCAGACATATAAAGGTAAAGTGCCAAGTGTTGATACTTCATTTGTTTAATTGATATAAAGATAAAGCTCTTCCATTCTAAGTTGGCTGATCATACTACTAAAAATTTGCAGGTCTTCCAATGTCGGGAAGTCAGATGTCTGCTTCATTTACATCAAGCGGAAATCACATAATTTCAGTTGGAGAGGACTCTCGTGTGTATATTTGGAACTTCAACGACTCGGGAAATTATTTTTCCAAACAGAGAAAAACAGATAGTTCTTGTGAGCACTTTCGCTCCAAGGGGGTTACCGTTGCAATACCTTGGTCAGGCATGACATCAGAAAGATGCTTCTCTCTCAGCGACTTTGCCAACTATTCTTCCGAAAAACAATGCCAGTTAGCGGCTGCTCCCAGTTTTAGAGAGTCAGAACGTTTTTCTTTTGGGAGTTGGTTCTCCATTGATGGTCCGTGCCGACGTTCTATGACTTGGCCCGAAGAGAATCTTCCCAGTTGGGATTCGCCTCTTTCCGAAATTGAATTTGATCATGCTGAGCTATCTTTTAAAGATCTATGGCATGAGAATCGTGTACCAGAAACATGGGGACTCTCGGTTGTTGCAGCCGGTCTTGATGGAACCATCAAGACATTTCACAACTTTGGATTTCCTGTTAGGCTTTAAATCGCATAAGGTAACAAGGTAACTTAACTCAGACGACACATGGTGAACGTGAAACAGTTAGTTTGAGCTTCACTCCTTACGTGCGTTATCATCGTGATATTGTTGGTATCCAAACACCCTCTAAAATTCAAAGCTATTTGAATTTCGTATTCATTTTGATTGGTAAAAGTTGATTCAACTTCAAGGCCTTGGATTCCCAACACAACCTTGGGAAAAAATTGAAGCATTGAGCTCAGAACCTAGGAGTAGAATTTTGGTCATAGGTAAATTCATGTTAGATGCCAAATTTTCTGACATGTTTTTTGAGGATTTGTACATTTATTTTAGAGTTAGGCCATGAAAATCCTACTTTTTTTGCTACACATTTTTTTGTGTGAATATCAGTTAACTTATACAATACAGATTTATAAAAAAATTATTGAAGTTTTATTTTGATACAAGCTTCTGTAGTTTACGAGTATTTTGTTAGTATTTATTGTTTATTATCCATTTTTGTGTTAAGTAAAAGATAAAAAGTGATGTAAGGGTGCATGGTTAGAATTCAAGATGGTTAATGTGGACAAATATGATGGCTTTGAGTGTGGATAAATCAAGGGACAAAGTAGCTTTCTTGATCAAAAATATGGTAGCTTTTAAAAAGTACTATTAAATATGTAGAGGAGGTAAAATTTGTGAACACAAATGCAAGTATTGATCCTCAAATTGTTCTCTTTATGAACTCTTGTCCTAATCAATCGAAAAATTGAATCTCAACTTTATTTTTTGAACAAAATATTCTTTCCACTCAAACGTTCCCATCACAATAAAAGTTTTAGTAAGGAACCATTAATTTAGCTTTTTTTTTTTACTCTTTCCGTTGTATTTTCCAATCTCATCATTTAATTGGGTTCTTCATTTTTTAAGGACAAATCAATTGAATATTTTATTTATTTTTTGATAAAATTTGTATAATATTTATTCTATTAAATTATATATTTTTTTAGAAAACTAGGTTCTTTCTTCTAAGACTTTCGATGAATGTTGTCTTCTTTATCCATTAGAATTTAAGGATTGAATTTGTATTTGGCAATAGAGACTCTTTCATAAGTTTTGTGACTTCTAGGATCTAATCTTGAGTATTACCAGATCATATTCATATATTGAGATACAATGTAATATATGATTTAGACTCTAATTTTTGTTGAATGAAAATTCAATAGTTCAAGTGATGTAACCGTATAACACGGGAGTGTAATCATTTATAGTTAAAGAATAAGCACTTTTGAAGACTGGAAAAGCTATTTTTGAGTTGTTGTAACCGGTTATCGAAACACATTAACCAGTTACACCTGACACTTGATATTTTTCTGTTTGTCTGTGATACACTTTTGTAAAAGAAATATATGGGTTTAGGATTTTGAGAGTCATGTACTTTCTTGTGTTATAAGTCACCCTTTATATCAGTTTGGTACATTGTGGTAGACTTTGTTTTTATACAGATTCAAAAGCCTTTAGGTAATTGTATATTGTTCTTGGATGAAGCTTTGAAGCAAACCCAAGTGTGTTTGTTAGTCAAGAGTCTTGGTGGAACTTTATTTGAAAGAGGTGTCTTTCAAGTAGTTCGATGCAGTCACCAAAGGTTGTAATTGTTAGATATCACTGAGGTGATTTAGGAAGTGAGATGACGATTTCTCATATTTAGGGAGGACCTAAGTAGAAGTTGCATTGAATAAATATTAGGCGATAAGTTGTAAACAAGGGAGTTTAGCTTTGAACTAATACTGTTGATAATGGACTTCCTTCCAGGCTTGGTAGCCCCAAGAGTAGGTGTTGTTGTATACCGAATTGGGTCATCATATCTTTGTGTTATTATCATTATGCATTATTCAGTTTTGTTTCTTGATTGATTGTCATATCATATAAGATGTTGGAACATATGTCATGATGTTGTTTTTATATTGTTATACCCCAAAATTTGCCCTCCCATATTCCTCAAGAAATTGCCAAGCCAAGTCACAAAATTCCCCAAGGGTTGTGCAGGTCAACTGTCTCCTATACAGTCAAAACTAGGGTTTGTGTGCTGATCAAGAAAATGGAGTGTTCAAAGGCCCAATCAAGTCTCATATGCTTACAAACATGGTCAAGCATCCTCATATCAAGTTTCAAGGCATTCAGCTCAAAATTGCACAGTCAAAACCCTAAATTGCACTACAGTCAACTGTAGGGGCAAAATGGTCATTTGGCAGTCAAAAGTTCAAATTTTTGGTCAACATATCATTTTGAAGCCACAAACATCATTTGATCAATGCTTGATCATGATTCTCAAAATTTGGCTCAGAAATCATCAAAGATGCAAAAGTTGCTATATTTGGACAGCTGAAAAAGTCAACTGAAATTGACCAGGGCATAACTTTCACATGGATTATCAGAAAAATTCCATCCAAAGCTCATTTTGAAGAGAAAGACTTTTCCTACAACTCATCTTCATACTTCAAGTCCAAGAAATGCTCTCACAAAAAGTTATCAATTTCAACATTATAGGTCATTTTCAAAAGTCAACAAAAAGGGACTTTAAGTCAAAGACCATAACTTGAGATTGGTAAATCAAAATGACATGGGACCAAAGGCATTGGTTAGAGGACTCAAAGACCTTTCCAAAATGTCCAAGAACATGTGAAAAGCTTAAAAATTGAGCAAGTTATGCCTTGTAGAAGTTGGGAAATTTTTGTGAAATGGCAAAAGTCAACTATCCTTGAAACTCCAATTTTTGACAAAAGGGCCCACTTTCTTCCACTTGATTCATCCTTGTCATGCCACACACGTGTCCCATGATTAATTTCAAGACCAAATATTGATTTTTCTATTTTATTTAATTTTTGATAATTTAATTCATTTTAAATCTTTAAAAATTCAAATAAAATTCAAAAACCAATGGAATAGTGTCATTTGAATTTGGACAACTTCCATATATCATGGGCCAACTCAAAAACTCAGGCTAGGGTTAAATTGCACACTAAGTCTTGGTCTTGGCTTAAAAGAAGGAAAATTGGTTAATGGTGAAAACCCTAGGACTAGTTCTTTCATGAGCATGAATTAAGGCCAACTAACAAGCTAATTCTCTTCCATCATAAGCACTAAGTCAAACCCTAACCACAATATACCAAAGGCTGCGCTCAAAAGCTTATTGACAACTTGAAAAATTAGCCATATAAGTCAAATCTGAAATCAAGGTTGGAGGGAGTTTTAAGCCTTAATTCTTTTTCTAATAGCTTCCTGGACAAACTCTGAACGTGTGCCAATCCCTAACCTCAATCAAAACGCAAAGAAGTGGTAGCTACAACTCAAACTGTAAAGAAAAATTGTTGAAATCGTGCATCATTTTTTAAGCATCCTTTGCACTTTTTATTTGTTGATTCTTGTTCCTTATGAAGTTCTAAAGCTGACCATGGTATTTAATTGAATAATCATGCATCGTATGCGATTTTGCCATAACCAATTTCTAGGGTTGCAGGTTTTTTAAATTAGGGGTTTTCAGACCAAGAACAATTAGCCCATGAAAGTCACACCACTACATTCCACGCATCTGGACGAAGAGAGTGATATACTCGCGATTAATTTCTGATTCACGTAGCGCTAATCGCTATTTTTCCAAAGACCCTCTAACACAACGCTACGAAAACTGTTGCCATAGTGTTTTGTTTTACAGGATGAGGAAGAAGATGGTTTCGTGTCCATCAGTCATTGGCCATTTTGAAATCGCGCGCGTTTTGGAGCACTAACTCTTGATTGTTCTTATTATATTTATTTGTTAATTATATATCAAATTGGCAAGGTGGCTCAGCTGGCACGCTATCAACGCATTGATGTCCAAAGACCTGGGTTCGAACCCCAGGTCTGAATAATTTCGCTATTATTTTTCCATACTCATTCCTATGCAGGCACAATGCTATGGTTCACCATGTACCATCACAATCCAAGCAGCCACGCGTCCTGGAAGGTCCATCAAAGGGCTCAGAGGTAGGGTGTACCATGAATCCAAGTCAACGCGCTAGCATGCAAACTGGCAAAGTCAATGGATCAAAGCTTTAATGGGCCAGAACCTTTGGATCAACACCTCCAATTTGGGGCTACCCCCCCTGGTTTGCTTTTCCTTTTTATATTTTTATTTTCTCAATTGCTATGTTATTTTATTTTTCTTATTTGTTTTCATTAATTAATTATTTTTACAAAAAAATATGAAAAACATCATAAATTCAGAAAAGGCAATATTTATTTATGTTAATTATTTTTATGAATAAATGTATGTAAATAAATTTAGTTTAATTAGGATTTTGCAATTTTAATTCCTTTCATATTAAATAAAAATAATTAGAATTAGGTTAATTAATAATTTCCACTCCTTTTGATTTTTTTTCCTTTTTTACCATAATATTATTATTATTTATTTTCATAAATTAAATCTTGCATGTAAATTAACTTAGATTTTAATTAGGTCAAAAATTCAATATTTTCACAATAAACTTAAAAAACATTAGAATTAGGGTTTAGTATTTCATTTTAATTTTAATTGATTTTTCTTTTTCTTTTAAATCTAAAAAACACAAAATACCAAAAACATTTATTTTTTTTAATTCCTTATTAAATTTAATCTTTTTGCAAGAAGGGTCCAACGCCCATTGTTGTTAATTATTTTGTTTCGCGTGTTTTACTTTGTCGCTTATTATAATTATGTACATGTCCCAAAGCCTTGTAACTTTATTTCTCGCACTTTTATTTTATTGCTTCTTTACTTTCAGTCAAATCGGGTTCGGTTTATTTTGGCGATGTGGACCCGCGTCATTTGTAATAGTTTAGATTTATTTTCTCGCAAGTATATAACTGTTAACAAAAAGCATGAAAGAATGTATGGCCCTAAAAATAAAATCAAGCGTAGATCACAACAAACATGACAAGACAAAATAATTGAAACATGACACACGAACCGCACGCACCACCCCTAGGGTACGCCTCACTGTTGCCTT